TTCTGAAAATTGACAGTCTGACCAGATGCTTCTTGATATTCAGTCAGAAAAGTTTTAAAGTTATTCAAGGATCTAGAATCACCATTAGTAAAGATGAGGAGGTCATCTGCAAATCCGAGGTGAGAAACAGGAGATCCTAATCTGCCCATCCAGTAGCCTTTAATAATTCCATGAGTCATTCTAGCTTTAAGACCCCTAGAGAATCCTTCTGAAGCCATGATGAATAGATAGGGTGAGAGAGGGTCCCCTTGTTTAACCCCCCTTTTAGGTTTAAAAAAACCATGAGGGCTACCATTGATTAGAATGGAAAGGTAAGTAGCATTAAGGTTTGATCTAATCAATGATATAAACTTCTCAGAGAAACCAAATTTAGATAGAATCTCAAATAAATAGCTCCAAGATAGTTTATCAAAGGCCTTAGCCATGTCAAGTTTAATAACAATATTAGATCCCCTAACATTATTATCAATGGCATGTATCATCTCCTGGGCTATAAGAATCTGATCAGTTATATCTCTTCCTTGCACATAACCAGCCTGCTCCTCAGAAATAATTTTTGGTAAAATCTTACCTAGTCTGGTGGCCAGCACTTTAGTACATATTTTGTTGGTAAAGTTTGAAAGGCAAATAGGTCTATAATCAGAAAAGGATTTGGGATTACCAATTTTCGGAATTAACACCACAAAAGAACTGCCAAATCCCCTAGGAGGAGGAACCCCCAGGAAGAATTCCTGAACAGCTTTGACTACTTCCTTTCCAACAATAGACCAACACTTTTTGTAGAACTTGCCTGAAAAACCATCTGGGCCTGGGGCCCCATTTTGGTTCAAATCCCACACAGCATCTTTTACCTCCTCCTCAGTAGGAATAACAGTAAGAGTATGATTATCTTCACTTGTTATGCTTGCAGGTATGTTACTCAGGATGGAGTTATTTGAAACAGCAGGATCAACAGAATAGAGATCAGAGAAAAAGCTAACAGCAGCTTTTCCTATATCAGATTCCTCGGAGCAAACAGAACCTTCAGAATCTGTAATGGTATGAATCATTTGCTTTTTCCTTCTAACTTTAACCAAGGAATGAAAATATTGACTGTTACAGTCTCCCTCCTTTATCCATCTAACATTGGCCTTTTGCTTCCAGTATTTTCTTTCAAGCCTGTATTTAGATAACAGTAGAGCCTTGGCCTGATTCCAGTTCTCTCTGTTTTCCTCTGAAGCTGTGATTTGATAGTCCATCTCAGTTTTTGCTACCAATTCTTCACAGTAATTGATATCATCAAAAATATTCCCAAAAACATCTTTATTCCACACTCTTAAATCTTTTTTCAATTTTTGGAGTTTAATAACTAAGCCCCTCATACCACCACCAGAGAATCCATCACTCCAGCTTTTAGAAACAACATTGAAAAAGGATGAGTGAGCCAACCACATATTTTGAAACCTGAAACATTTGGGCTTACTTGACATAATTTTGCTGCATTGAATCACCATAGGACTATGGTCTGAAGGAGATAAAGCAAGATTTTTTAGATAAATCAGATCAAAGGAATCCAAAAACTTCTCGTTAAAAAGACATCTGTCTAATCTTCTCCAAAGTCTGCCATTGGATCTAACCCCTGTCCAAGTAAATTGAGAACCAGCAAATGGCAGGTCAGTAAGACCACATTGTGAAATACAATCTGAAAACTCAACCATACTAGACTGATTAGGAATAGATGTCCCCTTGTGTTCTGCATTAGATGTTATAGCATTAAAATCCCCACCTATCATCCAGGGAATATCAATTGCAGAAGCTAGCTGAATAAGACTATTCCAAAGTATTCTCCTCTCCACCTGAGTATGCTTTCCATACACAGCAGTAACCCAACCAGTATAACAACCACAAGAAACTTTAAAATGAGTAAATTGTGTCTCCCAAGTAACTTCTGAAACACTGATAGACTGATCATCCCAGAAAATCCACACCTTATTAATTGATGAGAACAAAACATTAGAATACCCAAGTTCCTTCTTAAAGAAATCAGCTTTATTGTGATTCACAATAGGCTCAATAACAACTAAAAGACAAATCCTCCATTTAAGAATTAATTTAGAGAGTCTTGGACAGGAGGCTTCCAGACCTCTAACATTCCAAATTAAAACATTCATTGAGAAGGGTTAGCTTGGGATTGCCTTTTGGCAGCATTCCTTGTTACCATCCCTGGAGTCTGTGGAGGAAAATTCCTCCGTTTTCTCCTTTTACCAACCTGTATAAAACCTTCAATATTATCTTCCTTGAGATCTGATGTCTTAGATAATTCAGCCAACAGTTCTGAATCATTCCTTTCCTTCCTGGAAGAAGTAAAAAAGTTAACTTTTTTAACAATTGGAGGAAATGCTTTCAACCAATCTTCTTTCTGTTCAACATGAACAGGCATCTCAGAGTCAGAAACATATTCCTTGGCTGCTTTCTCTGGATCAGACTCCAAGACCTGTTTCAAAGGCTGGACAGATAGATCATCACTTGCTTTGACCATACCTTTGGAGATTATAAGTCCTGGAATATCACCTTGCAGAAGGTATTTCAAAGATGGATCATCTATAATAAGATCATTGTATTGGGGTATGTCTGATTGTTCCAGGGGTAAATGGGCATTTTGATTTGAAACCTCTTGACTTTGCTTCATGTTTTTTGTAGGTGGATCTTCCATGATGATTTCCTCATCAACTTCCTCCTCATCATTGAGTGCCTCAATGTTGTTGCAGACAACATTCTTAGAAGTAGATTGAAATTCAGAATGATGTAGTACTATAGCCTGTGAAGTGTTTGTATTCACTCCTTCCCCCATCTTATTCTTTCCTTTCTCTTGTGCAGTAAATTTCCTAGGATTAGCATGCTGAGTGTTCTCTTGATTTGATTTTGGAATCCACTTTTCTTTAGATTGCCTCTCAGGCAGTCCATGACGAATCAGGATGCCTGGCAAGGCAGTTGGCCTGGGCTGAAAATCAGTTTTCATTTTTCTTTTGTCTTTAGCTTGAGTATCATTGTATCCCTGAGGGATCCCAGCCTTTGAGAGATAGTCAGAATGAGATTGTTCTTCGGTTTGCCCCTTAGGACAATTTTTTTCAATATGACCCAGATGTAAGCATGAATTACAATATTCAGGCCTGTTTTCATAGACAATAGGCTGCATAAATCCTGTAGAACCACAATTAATCCAAACCTTTTGAGGCATTTCCTTGGTTAGATCCAATTCAATGCAAACCCTAGCCATTGCAGGCCTGGCCAAAGATGCAGTTGCTGCGTCTAACTTCAATGGCTTCCCAATGAGACTTGCAATAAGGAACAATGCTCTCCGATCTTGTAGATGAATAGGCAACCCTTCCATAACAATCCAAACGGGCACTATTGGTGATTCGACATTTGGCTTAAACGCAGGAGACCACTTTGTAGCCCGCATAGTTATACCATTTATGATCCATGTTTGCCTATTCCAGCAACGTAGGTAATCTTCTTCCAAATCAAACCGAATCAAAACATGTTTATTATCGAGTTCTCCAAGTTGAAATTTGCCTTTAAAACCAATAATTTCAAAACATCTTCTCACCACAGTAAGGCTAGGCCTACCTTTGTAGAAATATCCGATCAGTGCCCTATTGTGTCTCTCGGCTAGATCATGAACGTCATTGTCTGCAAAAGATATGGCTGGCACACCTTTAAAACGAGAAAATTGCGCTTCCAGTTGCTTCTCTCGATTGGCTACAACGTCTGCAAAGGACTTTCCAGCCCAAACAGGGTTCGGCGGTGGTGGGGGATCCACCGCTAGGGGAGGCTTCTCCGTCATAGGGGTGGCTTCTCCGTCTCCGTCACAATCTAATATACTAGGGTATATTAGTATATATGATATATCCTACCTCACAGTATTCATCACCTTATTAATCAGCTACTCTTAATCAGCTACTCTTAATTAGTCTAATGTTTTTACCAATTTTGCTCTTCACAAAGCTAGAAACCTAAAAGAATATAATATTACTATATTAGAATATCCATGACCATGTATCGACCACCAATTTTGAATGGTTTGCTTTCCATGATTTCTCTCTATTAATGTATCCTATACATTAATGGTATAAGATGCATTTTGTATATAATTTATTTATATCTAATTGATGCTGAATAAAACATATCCAAATGAAATATCTATTTGATCATCTAGCTTAGGGCCTCACATTTGCTCCGGTCATGATATGCTTGTTGTTCATCAATTACGCATTAAATTTTTTGATATATTTTTCGTGTATATATTACTCCCTCCGTCCCGCTATGATTGTCACATTTTACCATTTCCGTCCGTCCCACTAAGATTGTCTCATACCTTATTTGGTAAAGTTTGTGTGGTTCTAAATCATTCCTACTTTATTCTTACTTTATCAATTCAATATTAACCACATAAACTCACTTTTATTAATAACCGTGACACCTTCTCTTGTCCCAAACTTAGGGGACAGAGGTAGTATTGTTTTAAATATTGCATGATCATATAACAATGCTATTTAATTTTTACCACCCGAACTCCCTCACACTTAGTCATGGACTGGTTCCGGGCCGGGCCCAGGCCGATCCTAAACCTGGCTTTTTAATATATGGTGAAGGCCCGGAACCGGCCCGGGTTTCCACCGGGTCCCGGCCAGTCCAGTCCGTTCACAAGCCGGTTTTTTTTTTTGCTTTTCTGATTAACCCCCGACCCCCTCCCCTCACCCCCCTGATGAAAACGGTTAGCAACACAAGAGGGGGGGTGAATTGTGTGTGTGTGGAACCGTGGCAGTTTTTTCGCCGAGTTCTAGTGTGGGATAAAGGGAATTGCAAAATAGTAAAGTGCACAAGAATTTAACGAGGAAAAATCCCTTGGCTCAAAGGGATTAAAAAACCTCGACCTCCCTCGGAGGAATTTTAAACAACTTCACTAAACAAGCCTTTGAAAGAGTTACAAGAGTGATTCTCCTAATCTACCCTTGAGCCTCCCCCAACTCTATCCTCTCTAGGAAGAGTTATGCATCTCTACCTTGCGGGTAGAGAGCCTCTCAGCTTTATCACAAAGCTCTCACACACACTTAACCCGAGGCAGCTACTCTAGCCAATTAAGCCTCAATATTCCAAGTACAATATGAAAGGGAAAAGAGAAACTCTATCTAGAACTCCGTTGAGCAGTTTCTTGCGCTTTGGTCTTGGTATCTCTCTCAAATATTGTGTCTTGAATTTCTATCTCACCGAGCACCTTCAAAAAATGATTCTCCAACTTGTATATATATATATATCTCTCGCATTGATAGTCGTTGGCTCCTTTCCTTGATCAAAGGAATTTTGAATATCTTTCCTTGTTCAACACTTGTCATATTTGGAGCTAGAGATATTTGTTAGTCACAATCAAAAGCCTTTTAAATATGGAGCACGTTTATTATGAAGAGTAACTCATTCATGCGGCAACTCAAATATTCAAACCATGGTAATAATTTACTTGCCTTATTAAAAGATCAATCGAGTCAAATATAGATATTACCATTCAAAATATCTAATCAATTTGAATGATTACTGAAGATTGATTTTGGCAAGAAATTAAGCTTTAAAACGTCGGCCCACATGCAAGGCAACCAACCGAAAATATCCTTTTTTTTATATGAATAGCAAGAATGCCCTTATATATAAAACTGATTTGGTCAACTAATTCAAATATGGACATGTATAGATCACGTGAGATATAGAAAACCATGCATGTGAGGAATATCATCCAAAGGTGGTCTAGTCCATTATGTAAAACGTGACATCATTCCGTTATAGGTTAGTCATCAACAAAACTAATTAATCAACAAATTCCCCCTTTTTGTTGATGACAAACCATAGGTGCCTGCATGGTTAGTAGAAAGGATATAAGAGTAGTTTAACCAAAAGGAACTAACCAAAAGGAACTAACCAAAAGGAAACACATAAAGGCACCTGGTTGATTTCCCCCTTTTGGCATCAACCAAAAGGAGACAGGAAACAACCAAAACAGTGTCTAGCAGATAGAGTTAAAAAGCGTTTTAGTGGCATAGTTAAAGTAGAGTGAAACTGCTAAAACCAAAAGGGGATAAAAGGAACGCAGAATTTAGTCCTCGTCTGAAGAGTACACAATCTTCCTATCCACGGTGCCCGAATCCCCACCCTTAAGGCAGGCATCCTTCTTGAGTGCCTGGAGATCAGTGTGGATAGTTGTCTGGGAGTCAGTCAGGGCATCCACCTTTTTTGTTAGAGCTGAAATTGCATCAGAGATAGCAAGGAATTTCTGCCAGAGAGAGCGCTCCATTTGATCAAGATGGTCTTTGATAAGGGGTACAACCTGTAATGGGTCAATAGAGGGGGCAGAGGTAGGTCTTGGTTTTGGTTTTCGATCAGGACAAGAGGGCAGAGTCTCTTTTGGAACTAATTTGGAATTGATGAGAGCAATGCCGAGAAGATTGAGAGTTCGTTTGTCAAGAATCTTATTTGCTCCCTCGGATGGAAAGTTATCAATAGCAATTCCTTTGGCTTTAAAAATTTTAGTGAGGAGAGGGGCATAGGGAATTCCGTTCTTTCTAGAGGTTGAGCTGATAATGAAACTTAGATGGGCCATTATGAGACCAGGGAGGTTGATTGGAACTTTGCTCGCCAGCAGGTACATGTATGCCAACTCGGCTCTTGAGGGTGAGGAACGTCCCTCAAGCCTCGGAATAAGGTTCTGGTGGACAAAATAGAACACGATTTTGTGAATTGGGGACAGATTGACAACGTGGAGAGGGGAGCCAGAGTTACTGGGATTGAAATACTCAAGAGCCACGGTTTGAGAGACATTAGTTAGGGGCCATTCATTCTTGTTGTATGGGCATTGACGTGCACTTTGTCGTGAGTGCACTCAAAATAAATTCAACACTAACACTTATACGTAGTATAGGTGAAGTAGAGTTCGTATCCACAGGGAAAGGAATAACATTCTTTTTATATAAATAGTAAATAAAGGGGGGTTTTGATTGTTGAGTGATTTAATTAAATTTAAACACGAAGATGAATGATTTATATGGGATGTAATTCAAAGATAAAATTGACTTGGTATTGCTACTTTCCACTTGTTGATATATTTTAGTCGATCATTGTTATATCTACAACTTATCTCCTCTCGAATACTCAATCGAGGAGTATATCCAATTCATCGAGGATAGTTATTAACAACGACCGTTCATTAATAACCCTTACTATTAGTCAAGTATAGAACAACGCCATATACCGACTTGATAGTAGCATTTAATCTTTTAACTCCTTGATGAAATCAATTGAGATTGATAACCTTAACACAACGGTTTCGGTTTAACCAACAAAATTAATCCCTCTTAAGTCTATTAACCACGACCGTGCATTAATAAACCGAAGTTACTTACTTGTGAAACTATCAACGATTAACCATCGGTTCGTTGATCATTTCTAGCAGTAATTAATATATGAAACAAAACTAGTTGATCCTTTAAGTAATGTTCAAAATATTAATATGAAATATGCATAGGAATTAATTAATACTCAAGGAAGAATATTAAAGGGAATGAATCCTACTATAGTTAAATATCAAGATGTTAACTAATTGTCATCTTAGTAACACTCCCCGATATTAACATAGAGGAAGGAATAGCTATTACTAAAACCAATGTCAAGATGTTAACTAATTGTCATCTTAGTAACACTCCCCAACATTGATATAGAAATAGTATTTAAAGGAAGAATTAATATTCAAGGAAAAGAAGTTAAGAAAATAACTCACAACTTTAATAATCAACAAGTTTCAAGAGCAATACCAAGAATTGAGAGTTTAGCTCCTCATTTGGAGACTAAACATGCTAAAATAAATATAAAGAAATGCTATTCTAAACTGAGCTTAAGAGTATAAAGGAATTGGTATCTTAAAGTGAAGGAAAGGAGGTGTATTTATAGGCTTTTTGAGGTGCAGGCTCGGGTACTCGATCGAGTATATACAGATACTCGATCGAGTATGTGTAGAAATACCAGATTCGAGGTATACTCGATCGAGTATATGTTCATACTCGGTCGAGTATGTGCAGAAAGTGATATTCGAGCCATACTCGACCGATTTCGGATTTAAACTCAAAGGCATACTCGATCGGGTATGTCGGTCTACCCGATCGAGTATAGACACTAAATCGTGGCCAAAATCTTCCCGGCATGTTCCTTTGTCTTCGGATCCGATCCGATTTGAAGTTTCAACCTTATACTCGATCGAGTATAGGTAATACTCGACCGAGTATAGACCAAAATCAGGATTTTCCCTTTTGTCTTGTGATTTTGCACCTTCCTTCCACTTTTGGGGTTCACCAACTGTCCTTTGAGTGATGGTAGACCTGTTTGAGCTCAGAATGACCCTAATCTAAACAAATTACAAGAATTCAACAAACTAAACTATTACACCAAAAGTGTGTAATTTCCGAAATACTAAACAACCAAAACTAGCTAAAAACGTAAACATACACACGGAAATTACAAGTGTATCAACTCCCCCACACTTAGTTCTTTACTCGACCTCGAGTAAAACAGAAACATCCAAACGGTTTAAGAGTTTTCCAAAAGTTCAAGAAAGAAGGAAACTAAGACCACCAAGGGGAAAAATGAGTTTTTACAACAACATTCTTTCTTGGGTTTAATGATCTTCTATGCTCCATCTTCTTGCCTTTTTTTTTTCTTTTTCTTCTCTTCTTTTTTTTTCTCCAAAGAGATTAAATGAGTGCATGCAAAAATAAATATTTCTCTCATATCTCTCATTTTGCCTAGGAGCCTTTTCAGGTTTTCATCCTAGCATCTCTTTTCATTTTCCATTCTCCCAACTCACTCATCATTTTTCACAAGCCTTTTTTTTTGCTTAGATTGCCCATTTTGTTGGGTTTTCAACCTAACTAGCATTTCTTTTCTTCATTTTTTTTTTGTTTTTTTTTTTTAAAGAAGTTCATGCGTAGTAAAAGGTAAAAAATAAGATTACATACCCATGATGAGTCTCCTCCCCACACTTAGTTCAAGCACTGTCCCTAGTGCCCAATTTCGGCTTTTGTTGTTTGTGGAGTAGGGTGATTTTGATTTTTGGTGGGTTGTGGGTGTTTTGGTGGGGAAATGATGGAGATATGGTAGAGAGAAGGTAGAAAAATGGAGTTTTTGGGAGAAGGGGTCGAGGTTGGTATGGGTGTTTGGAGAAGATGAAGTGTTTTGGGGTGTGTTTTGGGGTTAAATCGCAGGTATATCCGATCGGGTGCCTCTCTATACCCGATCGGGTACTGGAGACAGGGGGTGCGAATATGGCTTTTCCAGTGATACTCGACCGAGTATTGATAGATACTCGATAGGGTATAGGAGACAGGCTGCTCGTGGTTTTGATTTTCCAGACATACTCGACCGAGTATTGACTTATACTCGATCGGGTATGTCTCCAAATACACCTTTTTTTTTTCTCCCTTGTTTTTTTTTTTTTTACACACGCACACAAACTGAAATAAACATGAAAAGAAAACATACCTTGCTTGGGTTGCCTCCCAAGAAGCACCTAATTTAACGTCGCGGCACGACGCCATCATTGTGTTCAATCGTTCAAGCTTGGATCATGATAATTAATTTTCTTCAAATTTTCACTCCTAGGACCTCCATAGGAGTGCTCAATTTCTCGACTCTCCACTTTGGAAATCTTTCCAGGATCAAATATCCAGATTTTCATTGATTTATGTGGTGGGAGGAAGGGGAAGAAATTATCATGTAGTATGGTCAATGAAAAGTTTTTCGATCCCTCAATTTTGAAGGAGATTTCAGAAATGTCATTTTCCATTTCAAGTTTACGAGATTCTCTTAAAGCTTCCAGAGATGATGGAGATACCTCAAAGGATGACAATGACAAAAATTTGAATTTGAAGCTCAGCTTATCCTCTTCTTTGACCAGTTGGAGCTCCGTGTCTTTTTCTTCTTCTACTTCTTCTGGATTCTGGATCTCCTTTTGTATCTCCTTTTCATTTGTCAATGTGATTGCAAAAGTTTGCTGTTTAGGATCACATTCTATTTGAGAAGGAAGTTTTTCTGAATCCCTTGCTTCAAGCCTACTCACGGCTCCGGCTATTTGACTCATTTGAGTTTCCAAGTTTAAAATGCTAGACTTGATCTCATTTTGGAATTGTACCATGTTGTTTTGCATGGTGGTCATGTTGGTAGCAATACACTACAACAAAATTCACTTTATGTAACATTTTGTTTGTAACACTTTTATTTGTGTTGCATATATCATTTAATTTTATGATTATGCAACATCAGTTTATAAATGTTGCATAAACATCAGAATTGTACATTTATGCAACACTTATTACAAAGTGTTACGAATTATTAGGTTTTATGTAACATTTATATTTAAAGTGTTGCTAAAATCATTAAGTATAGTTATAAACTAGACTCATGTAACATGATTAATAAATGTTACGTTTATGGTTAGACTCATGTAATATGTTTTCAATCCTAGAAAGAAGAGACTTAGTAGACCAGATCAGATCATATTTAAATAGTTTAGATCAAATCAGACAAGACTTCGATAATTATAATTTATAAAATACTCAAAGATACATATATTAATAAAAAAAGATCACAAAAAACAGACCGGACTTACAAAGCAGACTAGACACAAAAAATTCAGTCTAATAAAAGTATCACTTACAAGATAACTGCTCAGTTAAACAGCGCAATATATTTTAAAAATCATTTGACTGTCTCCCCGGTTGAATTTTTAGCTGAAATTTGGTACAGATAAACTAGACTTAATGAAGAAGATGTTAAAAAGATTTCATCAAAAAATTACACCGGGAACCGCCCTAAATGACGACGTCCGGATATAAACTCCTATATAAGAATGATTTGCATGTGTTTTATATAAATTCGAGGAATTATTTGATAATTTTCCCGTACTTTATTTTTATACACAAAAGAAATCTTCCGGTATTACTCCGTCTAAGAAGAGACATGATGGTAAGAAGCAAGTAATTAAAGGCCCAAACAAGGATGAAGATTGAAGTGCAGTACCGACTGAAACCAAAGCTAAAACCAAAGCTGAAATCGTTGTACGATTGCCTCGACCGCCAGTCCTAATCTGCCTACCTGCTCTTCCTTCTATGCTTGCAATCGCCTCTCCTCTATTTCAACTTCCCCCGGCGCTCTTCATCCGTAAGTTCTTCGATTCCTTTGACTTTCTCTCTCTAACCATCAGTTTGTTTATCCCTAAGGAAATGGTCTTGACTTTTTCCGGCAAGGCTGAGTTCATTAGGCTTGTCTTCAATTTTTATATACCTTTTATTATGATTTGTTTTTTGGCTTTGAATTTGAGATTGAAGACCCAAAAATGGGCCGTATTTAGGTAAAATTACATTTCTATTTAATATTGAAAAAGATTTATACTCCGTACTAAAGTTTTGATTTTAATTTAAGTTTTGAGTAGAGTTTGCTTAACTTTTTTGAAACCAGAGATAGCTAGAGCACGTGTAGTTATGTCGAACTATACCAATTGGGGAATGTGTACAAGGTGTTTGTTAAAATGTCTCCATGAGATTTTCTTGTAATTGGTGTAGTAACACTTTTGTAGAGCTCAAGTAGCAGCAGCAGCACCTTGTAATTGTATTTGATAAATTATCTAATAATCATAAATAAGATTGGAAAAATATACCTTTTAATTTCCTCTACTTTAGGGGTTGATGGAATCAGTACAAACTCTGTAACATTATTTCAGTAGAAGAATAATGATTTTTATGATGTCTCAGTCTCTCAGACTTTATAATAACCCTTCAATAGGTGGTTTTTACTGTGAAAATTATCCTTATGACATTTCTTCAAAAAACCAGGTGCATATTCAACCATCCCTATTACTTAACTAATATGTTATCAACAAGCAGTGGCAGATTTAGAATCCGATTTAAAAGTGTTCAATGTTTTAATAACTATTAAAATTTTAAAGAAGAATAAATAGATTTATATTAAATTACACATATGTACTTGCATGATTTTTTAAATTTTTTAAATTACACCGTAGAACACTACCACATCTGCCACTGCCAACAAGCTTTATCATAGAAAGTCCAGAGCATGATCATCCAAATGGATATGACAAAGGCATTTGTAGTCTCATTGGAGTTCTGGTTTTTTTTTATAAAAATTTGTTTATAGCTCCAATCATTCATCTATTTGTCTCAGGCTGTCAGCCAAAAGGTGGATTGCATATTCTGAGATGAAGAAAGAATATACTTAAATAGTTAAATTAATGTAAGATGTATGTTAAGAATTTTAGAATTAAGATATGTAGTGTCATCATTCTTAAGTCTGATGTTGGCTCTAAAATGTTAAAATATGATGAAAAGTGCAGGTTGTGCATTGAAAATTTGATGATTTCTCGTGTTACATTAATGAAAGTTCATATAAACAACTGTTTACATTTACTATGGGCAACTTGATGTTGTTTCTACCAAGGTACTGTTTTTAATATCAAAATAAAATATATTATGATTTTGTGTGTAATGAGTATATTTTGATATGATACTATAATGCCCTCTTTTAGGTAATGTTATCACCCACACCTTTTCCTTTCCTCCATCAGTGATGGTGTGTCGAGACATAAAAGCATTGTTCAATTGAAACAAGAAGCTGGCTAGTGGTGAGGTGTCGAGACATAAAAGATTTGTTCAATTGAAACAGGAAGCTTGTTATTTTCTTTTCCCTTCTATGAATCACATCAACAAACCCCCGAATCGGCTATGACCCTATTTTGCAGAAACAGTACATTATTTTGTCGATCTTGTGTTTGTGGCATATTTGTCTCCACTCTCAAAGAACTGCCAAGAGCCCAAGAGGTTTCATCCCTGTCCCAGAAGGTGAAGCTAATCACCGCTGAGAGATTCAAGTTTGTAATTGATATGGAGGCTACTATCGTTTCTCAGACTATCAAAACATGCTCACTTCTCCTGGATCAGTTATTCTTTATCTTGCTTCCTTTTTCTTCATTTCTTTCAATCTTGTGTATTATTCTACGGAATTTCACGCTCATCAATATCCTTCCAGAAATTTATTCTAATCAGTTTGGGTTTGGTTATTTGTGTGTTCTTGCAGGGAGGTTCACAGACTGAGCACCGAGAGGTGACTTTTCCTAAGATCACTACCACCATTTTCAAGAAGATCTGCCAGTACTTTTACTAGGACGGTGGCACCTTCAGTTCAGGCCGGGCAAGAGGTTTCATTCCGGTCAGAGGCCCCTCAGCCAAAGGAAGGATGGGCTCCGCACGGCTTTGCCCCAGCATGCCCTTTCGACAGGGCTGCTGCAGCGGACTAGCTCCCCCTCAATACCGACTCTCTTCTCTGCCTTCGGACAAACGGCTAGCGTCCCTCAACAATCGAAGGCCAAGAAAACGGCAGAAAAAAAGATTGCTCATCAGCGCCAAGAACTTCCAAAGATAGCTTCATGCCTTCACCTTCTGGACGGGGACTCTTTCATAGATGGTGGTGTGGTTTAAATGTATTTTTGGATATTAATATTTAGATTTGATGGATTCTTTGACCCTTCACTTGTTCGATCACAAATCTTGTTTTGTACATTAATGTTAGTATTCTTTATTAAAAGTTATATTAAAGACGTTTAATATATATTGTTATTATTAAACTGATATAAATAGTTGATAAGTGTTGCATAAAGTACTTATATACATGTTGCATAAAATAAATTATTGTTACAAAATAATCTAATAAATATGTTACAAATGTAGAAGAGAGATGTTGCCTAAAGTCATATTTTATGTGTTGCATTTTATTACAAAAAGTGTTGCGTATAAGATTCATCAAGGTTTGTAAAATAGTGTTGCATTAGAATTACTTATGTAACATTTTTTCTTAGAGTTGCATAATACAATGAAAAGTGTTGCATAAGACTTTATGCAACGAGACCTGAAGCAACACCCGTAAAAGTGTTGCATAAACATTTTGTAACACTATAATGATTTTATGTAACATATTTGATGTGTTGCCAAATGTCATTTTTGTTGTAGTGATAGCCCGGACCATATCCTCCGTAGACATGTTAGAGTTGGAGAACGGATCATACCTCATGTGAGGTTCATCCCTTTTGTAACCAACATCATCACTTTTAAGGTATTCATCTTGGAGCTTTGGGCAGAAATCCGTAAGATGTCTGTGAGACATGCAAATGTTGCATGTGTTGGCATCTTGAGCTTTTGGGCTTAAGATAAATTCCTTTATTAGAGAAGTCAAGTCGGAAATTTGACTCTCTAGGGATGATAGTTTGGTATCCATATACTCATGAAAGCCCAGAAATAGAAGAGTAAGATTTTATTTCTATTTTTTTTTCTAAATTTTTGTTGTTTTTATTTTTTATTTTATGAGATAAAATAAAAAGAAAAATAATTGCCTTTCCCCGGCAACGGCGCCAAATTTGACGTGCACTTTGTCGTGAGTGCACTCAAAATAAATTCAACACTAACACTTATACGTAGTATAGGTGAAGTAGAGTTCGTATCCACAGGGAAAGGAATAACTTTCTTTTTATATAAATAGTAAATAAAGGGGGGTTTTGATTGTTGAGTGATTTAATTAAATTTAAACACGAAGATGAACGATTTATATGGGATTTAATTCAAAGATAAAATTGACTTGGTATTGCTACTTTCCACTTGTTGATATATTTTAGTCGATCATTGTTATATCTATAACTTATCTCCTCTCGAATACTCAATCGAGGAGTATATCCAATTCATCGAGGATAGTTATTAACAACGACCGTTCATTAATAACCCTTACTATTAGTCAAGTATAGAACAACGCCATATACCGACTTGATAGTAGCATTTAATCTTTTAACTCCTTGATGAAATCAATTGAGATTGATAACCTTAACACAACGGTTTCGGTTTAACCAACAAAATTAATCCCTCTTAAGTCTATTAACCACGACCGTGCATTAATAAACCGAAGTTACTTACTTGTGAAACTATCAACGATTAACCATCGGTTCGTTGATCATTTCTAGCAGTAATTAATATATGAAACAAAACTAGTTGATCCTTTAAGTAATGTTCAAAATATTAATATGAAATATGCATAGGAATTAATTAATACTCAAGGAAGAATATTAAAGGGAATGAATCCTACTATAGTTAAATATCAAGATGTTAACTAAGAACAGCAATTTAAATTTGATGTGAAACTATCCAAAGTATAAGATTTCAAAAGCTATGAATTTTGTTCAATCAAATTCATCTAAGAGTAGAAAACTCAGAAGGAAAAAAAGGGAGATAACCAACCTGTGAATACTTACGACTATCCAAACTACAATATGTGTCTATCTTGCTCTTGAATCAAGGCCATATATGAAGTAATTGAGAGGTTCTGAATAGGAGTGAAAAAATGGCAACAAGCTTCATAAGAAGAAGATGCTCATAGGAGTGAAAAAATCGCCCGATTTCAAAATAACTATGGAAACCCTAGATACCTAAAACTATTTGTAACCATTAAAATCTAGAAAAATAAAAAAGTTAAAAGAGCGTTTTTACCTATATAGTGCCAAAGAGAAGCGACCAAAATCGGTGATAGAAGAGCCGAATCCAAATTCGGCGATAGAAGAGCGAGGATTGGAAGTCGGCCATAGATGAGCAGCGACCACAAGACAGCGATAGAAGAGTGGCGATTGAAAGTCGGCAATAGAGGAGCAGGCACCGGAAGCCGGTGATAGAAGAGCAGACACCGGAAGTCGGCAATAGAAGAGCAAACACCGGAAGCCGGCGGTAGAAGAGCAGCGACCGAGAGTTGACAATACATCGGCTGCTGGAGTGTTGGTGATGATGGAGCACTGATATGCGCTAGATCTGCGTTATCTCCTTTCTAGGGCTGTCCGGTGCTCCTTTCTAAAATTTCCAGAGTGTGTAGTTAACCCTGAATTTCTATCCTAAAGGAGTCCTTTTCATAGTTCCAGCGTTATTCTATTACGAATGCTTCTCATCCCACATGAAAAGTAGTTTAAAAAATTATAAAATATACCCCGCGTCAGTTTCCATGTTTTCTGAAATTATAAAAAAGACTCCGTTTTTGCTTTTCTATGTCGGGTCAATACTTAGCCGATACAGATAGTATTTAATATTTTCAAATCCGACCCTCTTTGAGATGAGATAATTTTAAAATTTATAATATTGGCCCCGTGCCTATGTACGACATCGGTTGTTTTACAACCGACACAAAATGTCAGTTATAGAATTGATTTTTTGTACTAGTGAATCTTCCCTAGCTTAGGGTAAGTTTTGGTAGACCCATCGGGTGGAATGATGCCCTCAGCAATGGCTCTGCTTCGTGTGAATTTCTGAGGAGGAGCTTTCCGTTTCCTTGTCACCGGCTTTACCGCTTTCGGAATCGGGGGACATGCATGAGGTCTTTCAGGTGAGGATTCGGCTTCAAGATTAGGTTCCCCCTGATAAGAGGAAGGTCCGCTTTTCTGAGAGACCGGTGATTTGGGGGTTTGATCCTCCTCTGCGACAGGGTTTGATGGATTCAGCTCCATAGGAGGCGAGGTGGTATCAAGATCTATGAGGGTTGGGGATGTTGAGAGAGGTCTGCGTGTGGCCTGGTTCCTGCTTGAGCGGCGAAGTGGGGTTGAAGGAGCACCTCCCCTCGTTTTAACCATGTTGGGAGAAGAAGGAGATTTTAGAAAGATGATAAGTTTGGAAAGTGGATCGGCAGAATTGTTACGCGAATCCAGAGAGGATTTATTTAAGAGAGAAATACTTTTGGAAAGTGGATCGGCTGATACCATTATTTAAGAGAGAGATAATGATCAGTTTAGAACCTTTTCCAAAAAAAAAATCAGACACATATAGCATGTAGTTTTAAGCAATCAGGGGATATACCGGGAAAAAAAACTTCTTACCAAACTAAACTAATCTACATAATCTGAGAATCGTGGAAGACGAACAGAATTTAAACAGAGTAGAACGTTAAGCATTAATTAATCCAAGTTCAAGTCTGATGATCTCAAACCTTTCTCTTCCCAGGGGTTTTGTAAAGATGTCGGCTATCTGCTTATCAGTGTTGCAATAGTCAAGCTTGACTAGTCCTTTTTCTACGCAATCTCTCAAAAAGTGATGACGTATATGAATATGTTTTGTCCGAGAATGCATGACCGGATCCTTTGAGATGCTAATAGCACTTGTATTATCACACATAATTGGTGTGCATTTTATATCAACTCCGTAGTCGCTTAACTATTGCATGATCCACAGTGATTGAGAGCAGCATGATGCAGCAGCTACGTACTCAGCCTCCGCTGTTGAGAGTGCTATTGAATTTTGTTTCTTAGAACTCCATGAAACTAGACACGGACCCAGGAAATGAGCAGTTCCAGACGTGCTTTTTCTATGTAATAAATCACCTGCAAAATCAGAATCTGAATATGCAATTAGTTCAAAATTCTCATTACGTGGATACCACAGGCATAAATCAGCCGTTCCTTCGAGATATTTGAGGATCCTTTTCACAGCCTTGAGGTGAGATTCTTTGGGATTAGCCTGGAACCGAGCACATAGACCTACGCTAAAAACAATATCAGGTCTACTGGCAGTGAGATATAATAGGGACCCAATCATTCCTCGATACATCTTTTGGTCTATACTCTTTCCTTGTTCATCCGCATCTATCCTATCATTTGTTCCCATAGGTGTAGTCATGGTTTTGCCTTCACTCATTCCGTACTTCTTTAGGAGTTCCTTGAGGTACTTTTGTTGAGATATTTGAGTTCCTTTGCTTGATTGCTTGATTTGTAGGCCAAGGAAGAAATTAAGTTCCCCCATCATACTCATCTCAAATTCGGAACTCATAAGAGAAGAAAACTCATCACAAAGAGATTCGTTAGTAGCACCAAAAATAATATCATCAACATAAACTTGAACAACCAATAGGGCTTGATCTTTTATTTTTAGAAACAGAGTTTTATCTATTTTTCCTCTTTCAAAATTGTTTTCCAAAAGAAATTTGGATAGGCGTTCATACCAAGCACGAGGTGCTTGTTTGAGGCCATAAAGTGCTTTATCTAATTTGAAAACATGATTAGGAAAATCTTGATTTTCAAAGCCCGGTGGTTGTTCTACATATACCTCTTCCTTTAGATATCCATTCAAGAAGGCTGTCTTGACATCCATTTGGTGGAGGGTGAAACCCATATGAGCCGCAAATGCTATGAGCATTCGAATTGCTTCTAGTCTTGCCACCGGTGCAAATGTTTCGTTGAAGTCTATTCCTTCTTGTTGGTTATAACCTTTGACAACAAGCCTAGCTTTGTTCCTTGTGATTTGACCATGTTCATCGAGCTTGTTCTTGAATACCCACTTGAGACCTATCACGGTCTTGTTCTTGGGTCTCGGTTCTAGATGCCACACCTTATTTCTTTCAAACTGATTTAGTTCTTCCTGCATAACTAGAACCCAGTCAGTGTCGGAGAGAGCCACTTCATGGTTCTCCGGTTCTATAAGAGATAAATAAGAAGAGAAAGCACAAAAGTTTTTAAGTTTAGATCTGGTTGTTACTCCCTGATTTAGATCGGTCAAGAGGTTATCCAGCGGATGTGATCTATGAAGCTTCCAACCCCTAGGCGCATTAGGTTGATCCACCAAGTTGTAGAGCGTATCTAAGACTGGTTCTACCGGTTCTATAGGTCCAGTGCCCGTGTGTCGTTCAGGTTCGTCCTCAGTTCCAGATTGTTCATTTTCAGTTGTTAGAGGTGGATCATCGATTTGATTGTCAGTTCCTTCATCTCCTTGAGATGGTGATTTCTTGCGAGTGATTCCTAGTTCTCCATCATCGACTTGAATTGATGTTGAGGCAAGTGCTTCATCAAAGATTACATGAATGCTTTCCTCCACACATTGTGTGCGTTTGTTTAGAACTTTGTAGGCCTTGCTATGTGGGGAATATCCGAGAAAGATTGCCTCGTCACTTCTAGCGTCAAATTTGCCGATGTTATCCTTACCATTGTTGTGAACGAAACATTTGCATCCAAAGGTTCTTAGATGGCTTATGTTGGGCTTTCTTCCCTTGAGCAGTTCGTAGGGTGTCTTCCCTAGGAGTGGGCGAATCATGGCTCGATTAATGATATAACATGCTGTGTTTAGAGCCTCGGCCCAGAAGCTCCTAGCTAGACCGCTGGAAATAAGCATAGTTCTAGTCATGTCCTCCAGTGTTCTATTCTTCCGTTCTACCACTCCGTTCTGTTGTGGAGTTCTAGGTGCGGAGAAGTTGTGGTCTATCCCTCGTTCTTTGCAGAAGGCATCGAAGAGAGAATTGTCAAACTCAGTTCCATGATCCGATCGGATCTTGATTAGTTGTAGACCTGTTTGATGCTCAATTTTCCTTACAAAAATAGCAAACTCATTAAAGGTATCTTTCTTGCTAGCAAGAAAGATAGTCCATGTAAATCTTGAAAAGTCATCAACAATAACTAGAACATATTCTTTATTTCCTCGGCTACGGACAGACATTGGACCACACAAATCCATGTGAATCAGTTCTATGGGCTTGCTTGTGCTCACCAAATTCTTTGTTTTAAAGGATGATCGAGATTGTTTTCCGGTGGCACAAGCCGAGCAAACATGGTCAAGTGAAAATTTCATATTGGGCAGTCCAATGACTAAATCATTATTTTTAAGTTTATTTATTAGTGAAAAACTAGCGTGTCCAAGCCTTTTATGCCATAGCAAAGGATCATTATCAATAACACTCAAACAAGTCATACTAATATTAGGCAATGAATCAAGATCCACTTTATATGTATTTTCGAGCCTCTTGCCTTCAAGTATAACTTGTTGTGACTTGTTACTAACAATGCGACAAACGTTATGATCAAAAACAACACTATTACCTCGATCGCAAAATTGAGAAATACTTAGTAAATTAAATTTCAAGCCCTTGACTAAAAATACATTATCAATAGCATGGCTAGGTGACTTTCCAACTTTTCCCACGGCTATGATCTCTCCTTTGCCGTTGTCTCCGAATGTCACCTTTCCACCGTTAAATGGCCGAAGTGAGAGGAATAAAGATTTGTCTCCCGTCATGTGCTTAGAACAACCACTGTCAAGGAACCAGTGATTGTTCCCCCTCACTCGGCGCTGTTCCAGGTTTAAGGTTTAGTGCGTGGAACCCAGACCTGCTTGGGTTCCATTTTGTTTTTATTTGAGGAAGATCTAACATAATCATAGCATCTATCTAGGGTCTCTTGCCGAGAGTAACATTGATACCGAAGATGACCGATTTTGCCACAATGCATGCAAACTCGGTTATCATAAGTATCAACGTATTTGGGTTTCCATTTACCGTGAAAGCCTCTAGTTCTTTTGTAAAAGGTCCGGTTAGGCGTTTGTCCATAACCGTTTTTGTGCCTCTGAACCAGTCTATCGAACCAGTTTGGTCCAGTTCTAGGTGGCTGTTGATATGGTCTAGAACTGGGTTGTCCTTGGGTTCTTTTATCCTTAAAGGGTTGGTTCTGAAAATTTGATTTTTGATTAGATCGGATATCCTTTGGAACATATCCGAGACCTGCAGTCTCGTTTACTTTCTTATTGTGCTGAGAAGGATCAGTTCCAGAATGATGTCTAGACCTGGTTTTGTTCGTTGCACTATAGGATTGATATTCTGGTCTATTTTTAAAATCAGTGCACTCGGCAACAAGACGATGAAGATGATCAATTAAACAACCAACACTCGGTATTTTTGAGAGAAGCTTTTCATCATGATCAACTTGTTTGTTCATACTATCGAGCTTAAGAGAGCAAATAATTTGATCTTGTTCTAGAACCACTTCACTGTACTTAAGCCTTTCATCTATTAACTCTCCCACTTTTGTTTCAAGCCTTATTTTGGCTCTCGTGGCTTCCTCGAGTTTAGACTCAAGCTCAGTGATACGTGATTTAAGATGATCATTTTCGGAAAGACTTTCATTAAGCTCAATAGTCAACCTTTTGAAAATTTTCCGAGTTTTGGTTTTGGATAGAGAGTCAAACTTGGACAGGAAATTTTCAAAGTTTACCTCAAAGCTTTCTTGGTCGGATTCCTCGTCGGAGAGTGCCATAAGACATAGACCCGCATGATTGGAGTTCTTATCATTTTCTTCTTCTTCATCATCGGATGAGTTTCCCCATGCGGCCATCATTGCCTTCTTGAGATCTCTATTGAAGCTTTTGTCTTCACTGAACCTCCGGTTGGAACTGGACTTGTTCTTGTCGTAGGTTTTCTCATTTTTCTTTTGTGGGCAGTCCTTAGCCCTGTGCTCAAAGGAACCACAAACAAAACAACCTTGGTTATTAAAGGATTGAGTATTCCTTTTACCTTGTTTGGCGCGATTGTTCTTGAACTTTCGGTACATCCTTCCGAATTGCTTCGCAAACATGCTCATCTCATCATCCGACTCACTTTCGGATTCTTCTTCTTCTTCTCGAGCCTTAAGAGCTATTCCTCTTTCTCGCCTAGCACTCTCAGCATCTTGTTCCTCTTGAAGACCCAGTTCATATGTCAAGAGTGATCCGGTCAGATCTTCAAGAGTCATGGTGGATAGATCTTTTGCTTCTTCAATGGCCGTGGTTTTAGGCTTCCATACTGGGGGTAAGCTTCTCAGGATTTTTCTAACTTGATCCTCCACTGTAATATCTCTTCCAAGGGCTGAAAGCTCATTGATAATGTTAGTAAAACGTGTGATCATATCCTTAATTGACTCTTTTGGCTTCATTACGAATAATTCGTAATTACGCATGAATATGTCAATCTTAGATTTTTTCACACGTGAGGTTCCCTCATGAGTAACCTCGAGCAAGTCCCACATTTGTTTGGCAGTCTTGCATCCTAGAACTCGATTGTGTTCGGCAGGACCAAGACCACAAATTAAATATTTAAGAGCTTGGGCATTATGCTCGAGTTTCTCATAATCTTCAGAAGTATATTCAGCTTTAGGTTTAGGAACAACATTACCTTCGGCGTTTCTCTTTGTGATGGCATTATCACCACTCTCTATAACATTCCAAACCTGATAGTTATCGGCTTTGATAAAGTTTTCCATCCGACTCTTCCAGAATTGATAGTACTTGCCATTGAACAATGGTGGTCTTTGAGTTGAGTACCCTTCTTCCAATCGGTCAACCGTATTCATTTTGCCGGATCTCTTCCCAAGGTATTAGCCTTTATGTGGTGAAGACCGGCTCTGATACCAATTGATGAAAACGGTTAGCAACACAAGAGGGGGGGTGAATTGTGTGTGTGTGGAACCGTGGCAGTTTTTTCGCCGAGTTCTAGTGTGGGATAAAGGGAATTGCAAAATAGTAAAGTGCACAAGAATTTAACGAGGAAAAATCCCTTGGCTCAAAGGGATTAAAAAACCTCGACCTCCCTCACTAAACAAGCCTTTGAAAGAGTTACAAGAGTGATTCTCCTAATCTACCCTTGAGCCTCCCCCAACTCTATCCTCTCTAGGAAGAGTTATGCATCTCTACCTTGCGGGTAGAGAGCCTCTCAGCTTTATCACAAAGCTCTCACACACACTTAACCCGAGGCAGCTACTCTAGCCAATTAAGCCTCAATATTCCAAGTACAATATGAAAGGGAAAAGAGAAACTCTATCTAGAACTCCGTTGAGCAGTTTCTTGCGCTTTGGTCTTGGTATCTCTCTCAAATATTGTGTCTTGAATTTCTATCTCACCGAGCACCTTCAAAAAATGATTCTCCAACTTGTATATATATATATATATATCTCGCATTGATAGTCGTTGGCTCCTTTCCTTGATCAAAGGAATTTTGAATATCTTTCCTTGTTCAACACTTGTCATATTTGGAGCTAGAGATATTTGTTAGTCACAATCAAAAGCCTTTTAAATATGGAGCACGTTTATTATGAAGAGTAACTCATTCATGCGGCAACTCAAATATTCAAACCACGGTAATAATTTACTTGCCTTATTAAAAGATCAATCGAGTCAAATATAGATATTACCATTCAAAATATCTAATCAATTTGAATGATTACTGAAGATTGATTTTGGCAAGAAATTAAGCTTTAAAACGTCGGCCCACATGCAAGGCAACCAACCGAAAATATCCTTTTTTTTTTTATATGAATAGCAAGAATGCCCTTATATATAAAACTGATTTGGTCAACTAATTCAAATATGGACATGTATAGATCACGTGAGATATAGAAAACCATGCATGTGAGGAATATCATCCAAAGGTGGTCTAGTCCATTATGTAAAACGTGACATCATTCCGTTATAGGTTAGTCATCAACAAAACTAATTAATCAACACCCCCCCCCCCAAAAAAAAAAAACCCTCCAAAACACCCATGACCCATCCTAACTTGGGAAAAACAAAAAAAAATGATAAACAAAAACAATTAAAAAAAGGCCCGAAACGAGCCCGGCCGGGCTGGTTCCAAAGGATGGGGTGACCCATACCCGTCCCGCCCTAACACCCCGGGCCGTTCCTAAACAGTACCGGGTCGGGCCGGTCCCAAACAGTACCGGGCCGGTTCACGGGCCGGTCAGACCGGACCCGGGCTAAGACTACTCACACTTGCTATTTTATATTGCTTTGATTCACACTTTGATGTTGTAGCTTTTCTAAAAGGCATATGGGCCTTCATTTTGGACCAATAGAATACTAAGTGTTTTAAAGAGGAATAACTTACTGTCATCTTAAAACTATACTCTCATATTTCAGCATTACCATACTTTAAGTATGGCAACTACCATAATTGGCAATATTTTGTTGATATTAACTAGTTTTCCTTACGAAATAAAAACAAACTACGTTTATCTTGAAATTTCAAAACATTTTAATGCCTATTTAGGTGAAATTCTTTTTGATAAATTGTTAAATTCTCAAGGAAAAAGTTAATAAGTAGCTATTATCAAGATCATTGAACCACGTAATTAATCACAAAACATCTGCCCTAAAGTATCCTAATTAAAGAAACTATACCTAATGCCATACTAGCCTGTATGTTACTTAGACTGTAAAGAAACTTTTGTGTCACACTAGAGCAATTAAAAACTAAAAATGCAACACTAATTCATGAAATAGTGGACACTGTATCAGCATACTACAATACCAAAAGGTTAGGGACATAGGAAGTTTCAAAATAAAACAAGACTCATCAGACTTTGCTAGTCCGATATGTCAATTATCTCAATCTTGACAACTGTGTCATTTCTTTGCTAATTCTGCATCTTTGAAATGGCTGACTCACATATGAACTCAAGCTCATTCCTTTTCTCCTCAAACTTGGCAGCATCATTAAGCAGGTAATTCCACTCCAGACATTGAATTGTCTTCTTAATCGCATTTCTCAAACTCATTTTGGCGGCCTCCGTCCGAGCCCTCCTTCCACAACCCCTAGCATGGTGAATGTATTTCTCCAAAGCATTTTTTCCCCTCAACTACCTTCTTGCGCTCCTCATCTTGAGCAATGTAATCCCTTGCCTCCTTAACCATCCTATCGATTTCCTCCTTTGACAACCTCCCGGTGTGATTGGTTATAGTTATTTGGTCCCTGTTGTTACTGCCAACTAGTTCAGCAGTCACAGTCAATATGCCATTGGCATCGATCTCGAAATATTCATTAACCTTAGCAACACCTACAGGGGCTGGCGGAATGCCACAGAGCTTAAATTCACCCAAAAAGTTGTTTTCTTTTGCAACAGGCATCTCTCCCTCGTACACTGAGATCCGAATACAGGTTTGGTTGTCAAAAACAGTCGTGTAGTTGTAACGTGTCATTTTCGTAGGAATGATGGTATTCCTTGGGATCACAACAGACATTCCGCCACCATGCACCTCAACACCAAGAGATAAAGGAGCAACGTCCACAAGCACAACATCCTTGCCCTTACCCAGGAAAGCGCCAGTCAGCGATGCAACATGAAAAGCAGCTCCATAGGCAACTGCCTCATCCGGGTTTATATTTTTGCATAGCTTCTTTTCATCGAAGAAGTCCTGTAACAATTCGTGAACCTTTGGGATCTGAGTAGACCCACCCATAAGTACAATATCATCTACATCACCTTTCTCCATTTTGGCATCCTTAGCTTTAAACACTTCTCCACAAACAACATACAATCTTGGAAGATATCTAAATTCATTTTCTCGAAGAGAAGTCAATACCATCAAGCAGACACTCGATGTCAATTGACGTTTCAGAAGCTGAGGACAAGACTCTCTTGGCCCTTTCACAGGCTATTCTAAGTCGCGCAAGAGCCCTGGGATTACTACTGATATCTTTCTGGTGTTTCCTCTCAAACTCTGCTACAAAGTGGCTCACCATTCTGTTAGTGAAATCAACTCCTCCCATGCGAGTGTCCCCATTCACAGCTTTAACTTCACACACATTCTCTCCATTGTGACAATAGAGACATCAAAAGTCCCACCACCAAGATAAAAATCCAGAATGTTCTTTAGAACATAATCAGCACTTCGAGATTCTTTCTTGTCAAGGCCATAGGAAAATGCAGCAGCAGTGGGCTCATTGATGATACGAAGAACATTAAGTCCAGCAATGAGACCAACATCTTTTGTTGATTGACGATGGACATCATTGAAGTAAGCAGGAACCATGATGACAGCTTTCTTGACTTGCATGTCTAGGTAAGCCTCTGCAATACTCTTCATCTTTTGGTGGATCATTGAAGATATCTCCTCAGCACTAAATTGCTTCTCTACGCCCTTGAAATTGACAACTATCGAAGGCTTCTTTCCAACGCTTCTATTATGTAAAATTTATCAAAAATTAGTACATAAAATAATAGTTTTTTTTAACTAACATAAAATAATAGTTAAAAAGTGTTACCTAGCTGTTGTAGTGTAGCTTTGAAATGAAATTGATTACCATTTTACATTTTCATCAGTCACGTTAAGTTTGTTTAGTACCATACTTGATAACTCTAACTCACCATGAAACGGGTTAGTTCTATGTATTTTGACTGATTTTGAAAGATGTATCTATAGGCAATTGGATTCGTTTAAACTATGTTTAATGAATTCACATACAATTCAATTCTCCTATAATTTTCAGAAAAGATTTAAACATCTATCATTCTGTGTACCGCATGGTTCATACAATTCAATTCACTTTTTATTTTTTATTTAATTTTAATGTTTTTAAATTATTTGTCTATTTTGATATTTTTACTATCGTTTGTACGTCTATTTCTATGTATGTTAATTTTTATAACTTTCATAAAATTTGTCATTGTCTTATATTTTTTAAAAAAATGACCTCCGATAGTACGTTAAATGACTGAAATGATTGTGTTTTCAAAGTAATTAAACACACCTATATAATGGTCTTTAATGTATGATTTCAAGTGATGAATTTGTAATAGTAAGAGAGTGTATTTTAATCTTTTCTCTTTACCACTGCGTATTTATTTGTAATTAGGAATAGTAGCAAATTTAAAAGTGTCTGGAGGTGGATGATATTTTTAATATCAACTCACTTCTACTC